CCTCTAGCAGCGCTAGTAGCTCCTCCTCCATGTTATCTGGACCATTTGAAGATGGTGGCTTCGATGGTCCGAGTGAATTCCACTCCCTATTATGAAAATTATCAGCTAGAATGTTCGGGGACTCGGCAAGGAGCATCAAAGAAAATATGTTCTTTTATTAGTGAATATATATAGACCTTATGCTCTTATTTTACAATAAACCAAAAGGAGTAGTCTTTCTTTTTTGGATGCTAAACAAATCCAATGTAATGGGTCTTTATGTTTTGAAGGAGTTGATGCAGTTGGTAGTCCTGGTGGCTTGTGGGTTATTTGGGACCCGACATCACTTATTTGTTGTCAAAATTTCAAATCTGATAGACTTTTAGCTATTATTTTTTAAGGTCCAACTAAGGACTTTCGGTGGGTGCTCATAAACGTTTATGGGCCTAGTTCTCTTGCTTTGAAATCAACTTTTTTGGATGATGTTATGGATTTCATTATTTCTACTTGCCTTCATGTGTGCATTGGTGGGGACTTCAATTTGATTCGTCTTCCTGATGAAATTTCTTCTAATATTCCTATGAACTCGCAAATGCTTTTGTTTAATGATTTCATTATGGGTAATGATATTTTTGATCTTCCTGTGTCTGGGGCTCATTTTACTTGGTCAAATAATTGTGTCCACCACCTTATCCTTTCTAAATTGGATCGGTTTTTATTCTCGAAAACTTGGGAAAGGGTTTTTCCTTTTGTTAAAGTAAATGCCTTAACCAAACTTTTCTCGGATCACGTGCCCATCTGCTTACACACTGAAGATGAGACCCTTGGTCCTAGACCTTTTCGCTTTGAATTTGGTTGGTTGGATGAACCTGAACTTGTTAATTTGGTCAAAAAAACTTGGGTTAGCTGTATTGTTCAACACTTTCCTCTTTTGCTGCCATCTTGTTGTGCGACTTAAAGTCAACTTTTATAATACCTCTACGGTAGGGATCTATTGCAACCAATTTCTAGTGAAACATTTAGCACTTATTCTTGGATGCAAAGTTGATAAGTTCCCATTTACGTATTTGGGGGTTTCAATATCGGACTTGAACCTTACTCAAGCAGTATGGGACCCGCTAATCCACAGATATCAAGTGAAATTTGATTTATGGAAAACCAAGACCCTACTTTGGGTGACCGTATAACGTTGGTCAAATCTACTTATGCTTACCTGCCCATTTACCAAATGTTTTTATTGCAGATACCAAGGCATGCCATTAATATTACTGAGCGGTACATGCCCAACTTTATATGGGGGACAATTGATGATAATCATAGGAAATATCATCTTGTTGCATGGGACAAGTATGCACACCGGTTAAGTTGGGAGGACTGGGCATTTAAAAAATTAAAACTCATGAATTGGGGTATGCTTTTTAAATGGTGGTGGTGAATTATACACGGCCTAAATCATCTTTGGAAAGAAGTTCTAGCAGTTAAATAAGGGTAATGACCATACTCTCACCTTGTTAAAAAAGGACGAGGTGGTTATTTTTTTCTCACATTTGGAAAGGTATTTATAGTTATAAAAGAGTGGTAATCAGCAATGCTCGATGACTTATTGGCAATGGTGAGGATACATTTTTCTAGTTTAATAAGTTGATTGGGGATTGTTCCCTATCTCTATTATTTATAGATCTTTTCGCCAGAGTGTCAAACCTAACAGTGAGAATTTCAGACCTTCCATCCTTTGCTTCGTCATTGGTGGGAATCTCTTGGGATATTGGATGCACATACAATAGGCTGCCAGACTTTATAATTTTGCAATATCATAACTTGTTAGAAACTCTACAAAATGTATATCTATCTAATGCAGGTTCATATGAGATTGTTTGAGAATGTGAAAGCGATTGGCTATTTTCGGTGAAATCTACCTATAGGTTGCTCTATTATGAACAGATTAGATGGTCTAACTCGGATTTAAGATCTTTATGGAAATGGCATGTTCCAATGAAGATCTGAGCCTTCCATTGGGTAGCATTACAAGGTAAATGCATTACAGTTGATAACCTGCGCACAAGGGGCAAGATTTTACCAAACATCTGTCTTCTTTGCAATGAAGATGAGGAAATTGGGAACCATCTCTTTCTTCGTTGTTCTTTTGCCTTTAAATTGTGGAGTTGGGCTTTTGAGACCTTGGAGTTATTTCTTATGCTTCCAACAAAATTAATTAACATAATTTTTCATCTATCTGCTGTTTGCTTGCCCCCTAAAGGTATTTAGATTTGGATAATTTTTAGGAGTGCTATCTAATGGCAGATTTGGCTAGAGAGGGATAGGAGAACTTTTGACGGCCTATCTCTCTCTGCGGATAGTATTAAAGATCGTATTCTTCAGTCTCTTTGGGGTTGGTATTCTTCTACACCAGATGGTTGTGGAGTTTCACGTACATATATCTTCTATATCAACTTAAGGAATTTGGTCTTCTCCTTTTCTCATAATCACCGCCCTCACTCTATTTGGAGCTCGCCACCTATGGGGTCTCTTAAACTGAATTTTGATGGTAGCTTCTGAGGGAACCCCGGTCCTGTTGGAATTTGTGGGCTGCTGAGAAACCATGATGGCTCTACCATTTTCTCTTAATGTTGATCCATGTGGCAACACCAAGGGCAATCGGGCAGAAGTTTAATGGTTTTTACAAGGGTTGGAAATTATAGTCAGTAAAGGCCTTTTTGGTTCGATTCTTATAGAAGAAGACTCCCTAAACGTTATTAAATGGTGTAAGCAGGAACAAAAAATACTTCGGTCTCTACATGTTTTTGGATTGAAGATTTTAGATCTGTGCTCCACACCTGGGCTACATCTCTCATTCTCTCATGTTTATCGAGAGGCCAATGGAACAACTGATGATCTTGCTAAATTTGGCATCTCCTTTCCCTCTCTTTCTATTTCTGATGTTTTATTAGCACCTTTGTAATTTGATGCTGCTTCAACACTTGTTCAATAAAAGTTTATGTTAAAAAAAAGAAAGATTTAAAATACAACGATCAATGAAGATTGTGACCTCCTTATATCAAAAGTAAATGGTCTCATAGCATATATTTTTAGAAATTAAAGGTTAGTTCACCTTTTTTTGCCTTTCTGCTTTTTTTTTTTTTTCATTTGGCTATTCACAAGTGAAATTGGCAAATATTTGGTCCACTTCGATGTTCATGGGCAAGGGCCGCTGGGTCTGGAAAATCCTACAAAATGCTTCCCTTGTTTGTATGGATTGTAGTTATCACGAAACAACTACTAAATCGGCAGGATGTGTGGTCCAATCAAAAGAGGTTCAATTACCGATTGAATTGGTTGGACTATATTTTAGAAAAATCTAATAAAAATAAGGACAATGGTTTTAAATATAAAGTATATTAGAAAAAACATAATCTTTTTTAATCAATCGAAGTGGATAAAACCAGTCAAATACTAATTTTTATCAGGTTTTGACCAAACTGGGCTTTTGCTTTAGATCGGATCGGCCAATGTACAGGTCAATGGTTTGAATGGTCTTGATACTTATAGCATGGAATGCTTACAAAGGAATTGTGCACTTTTACTTTCAGCAATAAAAGCTTGATCTATTCCATTATTCATAAATCGGCCCCTTTTGCCACGCCACTTATTAATAAAATGCCGTCAAAATCCTTGAACACTCAAAAAATTCCCTTAGTTAGACATCATTACTAATAATGAACAATGTGTTTATTAATTGCATCATTTAACAAGCAAGATTATTTATTGCCATTCAATCAACGAGGCCTCTTAAGAGTTAAATTATTGCAAACCTCGTGGTTGTTAAGTTTTTCAATCTTCAATAAGCTGGATTTAATTTAATTTTTTAATATTATGTTTGATGAAACATTCAAGTAAAATAAAAATAAAAAAGCAATACCTCAAATACTAGTGAGCGCATATATATGCTCCTAAGATATTGTACATGTCCTCACTCGTTCAAAATACCTACTTAGAATAAATTTGGGAAATACATAATAATTACTGGATAATTATTTTTAAAAGAAAAATTTGGAATTTAAGTTTTGTAACACTTAAATCTAGCCCTTAGAACACTGGACAACCACTACTCAATCTTGAGGCCTAAGTTTTTTCTCGTACATAGAATTCATTTTGGTTTGTTTTTGTTTTTTTTGCCTAGATTTATAAAGACTACATCCAATATTTTGAGATCTAAAAAGTATCCATAAACATATATTTTGCATGCGGGAGGAAATAGTTAGTATCCTCCCTAAGGAGAAAATATTTTAGTAGCATTTGACCTGAATGATTTTTGTAAAAGATTTCAACTCCTAAAATATATTTTCTAATAACAAAAGGAAAATAATGGAAAAAAAATATATAAATGAAACTTCAACAAAAAATGGGTGCGGTTTGTATAGAGCCGAAGATCTAAACAATCAAAGTAAAACGCACCTTCAAATAGTGTCGAGAAATGTGGTTTTAATACTAAAAATATTTGTACATCGAGCAATATCTATGAAATATATTTCTACTACTTAAAATATATTTTCATATTTAATTATAAAATTTAAAGGTTAAAAAATAGTGTAGATCGAACATATCTATGAAAACTTTAAAATTGATGGTCCAAATATACGGTACAAAATGCACTATTTTCAAACCTTGAAATTTATATTTTTCTCATGCCTAGGCATCTTGATGTCGAGATGATCAATTTGAAGATATTTGGTCATCGAAACAATCTCTTTTAGTGAAATTTTTGAGGTGGGCTCTAGCTTGATGGTTGAGAGCCTCGGCTCTGTATAAACTTTTTCCATAAAAAATCTCAGAGCCTTTTCCACGCTTAATTATGAGTAAAGTAACTGTATACCAAAACTTTGCATTTCTACCACTCATATTCAAATCTAAGGGTCAAAAGAATATTAAGAAAGTGTAGGGGATCCCAACGGTAGCATATGGTACTTTCCTAAATTCATATATCAGCTTTCTAATCTGAAATTTAAAGCAAAAATTTACCGGGGTTTCTCAACGTGAACTTTAAACCCTAATTTCGAGCTCCATTTTTGCCGGAATCCGGTGGCCTGTCAAATTTTCTGGCGTTTCCGAGCCTTCTTTATTGTGCACTGTTAGACTACTGATTTGGAAGCTAGGACATGGTTCTGGTACGAAATGCTTACAATTTGTAGCCTCTAATGAAAATTAGGGTTTATACCACTGGAGGCTTTTTATCCAAGAGTTCTGTTTTCAATTTTCATCATGTTTGGTGTTTTGTTGCTTTGTGTTCATATTACGAGGAAATTTCCAGTTACCTCTCTCTCTCTCTCTCTCTCTCTCATTTCGTATTCTTCTTCTTCTTCTCTCTTCCTCTCCCTCTCTACCTCTGTCCATCTCCTGGTTTCTTCTATCTCATTTTCTCTCCTCCATATTTCCCTGTCCGTATCTCTCTACTGGGTTCCTTTCTCTCTCTAAATTGATATATACATATGTATATCTCTCTCCTGTTGGTGTGTCAGGTGGGAATTTCTTATTTCTCATTATTTTATTGTTCGATTTAAAGATAATGGTAGAAGGAGGAAGAAATACAGTGGAATCAAAGGTGAGCATTGACAATCATGTTATAATAGTTAAATTTCTTTTGTTGATTATTATTTTTTTGTTATAAATTTTGTCGGACGACCTTGTATTAAATATGGTTTGGAAACGGGCTTTATTTCATGCCTGTACATTGCTATATAAGTTGGCTAAGTCTGTGGGTTCGGTTGTTTCTGGTTTCTACTGTATGTGTTGTGTTAAAAATAATGAGTTTAATCTGATATTAAAATGATAAATTGGGAAGTTCAGAATGTTGGGGTGTTGGAAAATCTAATTCATTGTTAGATTGCAACATGTGCTTACACAAGAATTCCCGATCCTGGTTGTGATTATTATTTTTTGTTATGTATTTATTTAATCCACTATGACTGTACTTTGAATTTCATAAAAAGATCTTTTGCGCGTTGTTAATTTTGAAGTTTTGATTGAAACTATGTCTATTTTTCTTATTTCTGTTTTAGCAGTGAAAAGGCTTTTACGACCCACAAAAGAAAGAGCTTAGTAAATATCCTCCTCATGATTGGAATCTAGACTTACAGAGTTTCTGACTGATGTTAAGCAAGCAATTTCTGTTATGAATACACAATAAGAAAGAAATTTCTGTTATGTGTTTTTGAACCACTGTGATTCATTTTGACTTTAAGGAAAAGAATTTTTACAGGTGGTTAGTTCTGAAGTTCAGATTGAAACTTTGTCCATTTTTATGACTATTTCAGTAATAATGATGGCTAATATAGACCCACAAAAGAAAGTTAGCGGCTTGCTACCTTATGATCCCCTTTGCATAAAGAAATTGCTAGCTTATGATTGGAATTTAAACTGATCGGAGTTTCGGACTAATTTTGTAGGAAAAGAAAGCAAAAGACTGTCTCCTTGTGGATAAATACAATGTGGAAGCTTCTGAAATTTTGGCAAATGAGGCTCAGGTGACATTTACAAGTCTCTATTGCTGTGTGAGGAACCTAAAGCAAGAGACTTCCTCATTATGGATAAAATGGATTTTTATTTTATTAGACAATGGATTTGCAACGTACTCCTCAGTAGAAATGGAACTAATGTTATCTTTTCCGCCATGTTTTAGCATCTTCCCATATCAGAGGCAGTTCCAATATATGAACAACTTCTTTCAACATTTCCCACAGCTGTAAGATTCTTTTATCCTTTTCGAATGGTTTTTTCCTTCGTGCATTAGAGTATTTCTAGATATTCCATAATTGTGTTACCCAGACTCGTTGTGGTTAGATGATGATGGTGAGCATGGGAGTATTGTTAAATGTGTTTTATGATCGCATTCAACTATGCCGTTCTTGAGCATTCTAATGAACTTTCTAGCGATCGGTTATTATGTATTTATCATATTCCTTAAGTTCTGTATCACCCATTTGATGGCCATCACCTATCCATCATGTTCCTTTGACAAGTAAAAGTTACTATTACAAAGGAAAATGTGAAGAATAGAAAGGCACTTGAGGTGGGATGAAAGACAACACCCTTGCTAACCAAATTATCTTCCACCATATTGGCTTCCTTAGTGAGAGTGTATAGAAACCAAGACCAAGGACAAACACTTTAAAATTTGAGACAAACTTTAAAGTGCAATTCAATTTCCTTGCAAAATTACAACACTTATGGTAACCCTCATGAAGGAAGTACAGCCATCAAACACTTTTCATACGCTCTTTTAAAATTAGGATACAACTCAATTTGGGTCCCTTGTCAAAAAACAATAGAAGACTACTAAAGGAGATAAGTATACAACACTTGGAACTAGTGCCTTTGAAAATTCAATACCATAAAAATTACAATGCAAGATTATACATTAATTCCCACCATATAACTCATCAAATCATGATCTCCACATTGCATACACATGAATGCTTAAGATAACAAAATAAGAGGATCATGGAAGCCATTTCGAGCTCTTGGTGCTCGGTTTACAGCCATGGGTCTCAGCTATGTGCCATAGTGTGATATGTGATGGCAAAACTCATAATCCGGCCAAATTCACTCTATCAAAGGTGGTAAGCCAAAGCATCTATCAATCTACACTTGAATCATGGAAGGACTTTCAACGATCAAAAGATCAAACACTTAGTGGGAGCTCATGGGAGATACACATGCATTGATCATAAGATCATGCACAAAAATCATATAGGCACACCAAGCTCAACGGATTTCTCCATCAAATATGAGTTTTAATTAACCTGATCTGAAAAATCTTAGAGAACATCAGTCAATTAAGCTACAAAAAACTTATAGAAAAACTCATGAAAAACTAGGTCAATACACTCAATCACAAGGATCAATCTTAGATCAAGATCTCATAAATCAAAGAGCTTTGAGATGGAGAGACCTTGCTGCAAATTGAATTTTACAGCAAAGAAGATGATAAAAAAAATGGAGAATGGATTAGATCTTACTCAATTGGAGTGCCACATAGTCGCTTGATCATCTTTGACATAGATGGAATTTGATCGAGCATCAATGGAGCTTAATTCTTCCTTTCTCTCACTAGGATTTCTTCTTCTCACATAACTCTTAAATTTCTCGTGAAGGAAGAGAGAGGAGGGGAAATGTCTAGGGCGTACCATCTAGTGAGAGAGAGAGTGGTGTGCCACTCCTAAATACAGAGACATGGGGCTAATTGTAGGAAATGAGAGAATGTGGGGATATTTATAGCCACCAAGTGTAGAGATGCTTCTAGATAGATGAATTTTGGGCCTTCATGTCATCATAATATGGCTCAAAGAGAGGCTTGATTCTAGCCTTCCATTCATCATCATGTCATCTTGATATGTAGTTGGGATTTTCGCACCCTTATCCTCCATTTAATCCATAAATTACACCAAAATTCTCTTTGTATGAAAAATCTCATGCTCTTTGAGTTAAAAATCAAAGTTAAGGTCATACCCTTGAGGTTATTAGGCACATTTCCGGCAAAAATTTAAATTAAAAAATTTCCCTCCATTTTGATATAGCATGTGTGGCCAATTATTGTTCTAAGAAGGGTGAGGACCTTAAATCTTCCCTCAATCCATCTCAAGCCTGGGTAAAGGGGGTGGTTTGTGTTACGCAGGCAACCAACCTAAAACTTTACCAAAACTTCTTATGAATCCGGAATATATATGGTCCTTAATTGAGCAAAATGACAGACTAGGATTTGTGTGGCCGACCCTAATTAGTTTGGAAAAGGCTTTGATGATGTTGATGTGTGTCCAATCATTGGTGCCACATGTGTAAGTTAACATAAGGGCACAATTATCGTATACCTTTAGGGTTTCAATTGAAATATCAAACCCTATGCGCCTTCTAGAAGGACTCACACATGTGCATATGACACTTTCCTCACACAAGAAACTTGTCCTAAATTCATTTATCTAGTTTTAAAAAATTCACAAAATATCATAATTCAATCCACTCCCTTTTATATAACGAGGGTCATAAGGACAAGGTCCCATGGGGTTGATGTTACCCCCACGTCACCTCCATGTGGGGCTGATGTGGAGGCCCCCATGGCCACATGGACACCCATTGGCCATTTGGGTGTCCTATGTGGGTCCTGGGCTTGATCGTCATTTCATTAGAACAATTTTAAAAATACATTTTTCTTGCTAAAAAAAATTCGAAAAGATCGCCAAAAAGTCCCAAAAATTCATTTAATCATTCTCATCAAAATAAACCATTTTGGCACCATTTAAAAATAACTTCTAAGGAAATTAGGATCGTATGGGGCTGAATTAGGAATCAAATCAGTCCAATTGACTAGACTTAGAATCCAAAGCCACCTTCTTGATATGACCCAACAAACTCATGACCCACGGTGCTAATCAGGGGCTCATGATATAGCTTATCAAAGTCAAACCAATGAGTAACACTGAATTCCCAAGTACTAGCAGATTCAGGTGCACGCCCTAGAAGACATGCACACATATGGTGCGGGGTTTCCTCTCTTGGAACATGTGCACACCTCTTCATAGTGGATCCTCTAGAGATCGGTTTCCCATATTTGCGATTGTTTATGCATAAGCTACGAGAATGTCGTATGAGTCAAAGATTTATGCTAATGCCCTCTGGTAGCCTTAACCTCCCCATACAGGGCTCAAACAAACACAGTCATCGAGCTTATATCATCAATCACATAAAAACATATTGCCCTAGCCCATCACATTGTCATGAGGCCCAATAAGAATAACCCTGACTAGAGGCAACACTCAAACCTCTCGAACACAAATCGTTCTCATGCCTCTGGTCCCCGTGCACCAAGATCCTAGAGTCATGTCGCTCTTTCACTCCCACTGAAGTCAAGAGCTATAACAACATTGGAGTTTTAAGGCTCTGAAAGGGCATTACTCCAACAGTTAGATACATGAGCAACATCACATGTATGGACTATGATGATTTGTTTTGAGTTGCAAGTGGTAGTGGCTAAGTTGCTAACATGGTTTTTGCAGGCAAAGTTTTGGAAGCAGTATGTGGAGGCCGTTATGGCTGCAAATAATGATGATGCAACAAAACAGATATTCAGCCGGTGTTTGTTGAATTGCCTTCAAATTGCCCTATGGTAATCTTAAGTTGATATAATTTGCTTTAGCTTGGGCTTTAAAGTTCTTGGTTTATTTGTTTTGATTGAATGCTTTTTGTCGTTGTAACACGACTATTTGATGTTTTGTTAGATGATGAGTTCATGGAACCTAGAAGCTCTCCCTCCCTCGCTCTCTCTCTCCCCCTTACCCACCTTCATGTGTGCGTTAAAGGCAGGCTGATGCCTTGGTGAAATTAGTTCCCTAGCTGCTTCTTAATTCATTCATTCTATTAGTGTTTTCCCTTTCCTTCTTACATTTCTTCACTTGCTTTTGCTCTTGTTTCCGCACCCGCTCTGTGTTATATCTTGGTTGCCTGGGCATGGAGCTGAACATTTTGTGCATTCACGCACACACAGACGCGCACACATACACACGTTTATGGCATTGCTATATGTTGTTGGAGTAATGACTTATGCCTATCGTGCCTGAGTTTTGACTGTGGATAAATACATTATGCAGTGCCTGTTGAATTGTTTGTCTGAGTATCAACTTTGTCATACAATGAAAAATTATGAAAGTTTTCTGGTTAGACGTAAACATTGTTGCAATTTATGTTTGTATGCAGTGTAGCTTTGTAGCATTTGGTATGCTGGTATCAGATTTTTGTTTTTGATTGTTAATTTACATTTGTTTGTTAATTGACATTTGTTTTTGGTGATGTTGTATCTTCTCTCATCTTCTTTCCGCCCCTTTTTGATATTTTATTTTGGGAATGCTTTTGTTTCAATTGCTTTTGCAGTTTATTACATTGCGGAAAGTTGACTGTGCAGGAGATGTTACATTCGCTTTATTCGGAAAGTCAATGAAAAGAAAGGAACAGAAGGTCAGGAAGAGACAAGGAAAGCATTTGATTTCATGCTAAACTATGTCGGTGAGGAAATGCTTATCCCCAGGACTATGTAACCTGCATCTTTTTTTATTTTTTCGTCTTCTTATTGTCTTTTAATGACTCCTGTATTTAGATGATTTATGTTTGAACATTCCTCTATTTTTGAATTATGGATACGTAATCTGTAGATATTTTCGATAAGGATATATTTCTACGTTTTTGTCAAATGAGGCCTTTGCAATTTTTGTGTTTTTATTGTCTCCCATACTGTTCATGTGCAGTCCATTTCATGAGAAATAAGGTTTTGAAACTTTTAATTTACTTTGACTAAGGGTACTTGCATATAATATCTATGTTTTTTTGCTTGGGACTTTTTGATTTCTTTTCTCTTAAATAGTAGTATGTTTAATTTTTATCTTTTTATCAGCATTCTGTACTTCTTTATCTGTGTATGAATGAATTTGTTCTTATATTTTAAGTTGAATTGTGGTAGCCCTGAAAAAATTAATGATTGTAGCTTACTTTTTGATTATCCTCAAAGTTTGATAGTCAATCTTATTACTGAGATTTTTACTTTCTGCTTTGTGTCATTCATTGAGTAAACTAACAAGAATGACATTGGATGTTATTAGGAAGTGATATTGCATCAGGGCCTGTATGGATGGAGTACATTACCTTTTTGAAGTCCTTACCGGTATGTCAAATGTCATTCTAATTATTTTAAATGTTGCGTGTTCTCCAAACTCATACATTGGACTCACTTAAAATTTATGTTCTAATTCTTAATAACCTCTAATTCTTTATTTAACATTGTGTGAACCAATGCCATTCCATATCAATTATTTAGAATCTCTGTTTTCTGATATTTTTTCGGAACTGTGGAAAGACAGCGGAGATATCACAAATTTTATATAAGTTATTTTGCTTCTTTTGTTGATTAGGGTTTCTTAGGGAGCAAGTTGTGTTTTAGGGTTTTCCTTCTATAAATGTTACTTTTTTTGTGTGTGTGTGTTGTTTTTTTTTTTGGGGCGGGGAAGGGGGGGGGGGGGGGGGGGGAGGAGGTAGAGAAGAGAATAAAAGTTAACTTTGGTCTTGTAAAAAGATCTTTTTGGGGGTCTAATAAGGGTGAGACCTTAAACTTTTCCTTTAACCCTTTCTAGGCCCGGGTGCCACATCTTATCATGAATCCTAGATGATGATGATGATTTTACTTTTTTTGTACTCATCTTAAGTTGTATGGTTTAAACCATACAACTATAGGAGTAATTAAAATAAAAGAAAGGACGTGGTTAGCATGCGGGCAGCCTTCGTATTGTAGAAATGCGGGCTTGGCAATAAATATATTTTTAAATATAATTTGATCCTAATTTTAGAAAATATATAATCTTCAACATGGAGATCATGAATATGAAAAAATAAATAAATTTTGAAAACTAGAAATAATAATTATATTAAAAAACATTTGGACTGTTGGTTACAATTGCTTTTAGATGGGCCACCTATTTGCATCCATCTTTAAGATGGATGCTTTATACCTCTGGACCGCATATTGTAGAAATGCGGTCCACCCCGCATGAAACAATTCTTCTAAAAGAAAAGCATCAAGTATTTTGAGGTTGGAACTATATGTAATGTATGTCATTTAGAAGGGATAACAATGCTCTAGAATGATGACTAATTCAAAATGCTTCCAATTTAAGAAAAGTAGCTCATTTGAAGTCTAAGAAAAGTAGCTCTTTCAGGTCAAGTTTTGAATTTATTGGATTCTTGATAGACATGCGGGTAAGCGATGAGGGATCCCAATCAAATTGAATACCGTGGAGTGCTAATATTTTATATGGTAAAATAACTCCATTGGATTATTAATTTTTTGGGGGGATTCTCCTAATAAATAACCTCTAATACGTAATAATAACAGTAATAAAAAAAATCTTCACTGGGAATAACAATTATCAGGGAGTCTACTGACTTCAGTTGTCTTTGGTAAATTTTGGGCAAAATACACTGTAATCCAGAGTATTATCGGAAGGACATGATCCCTACGTTGGGTTCTGTCGGATTGTACTATTATACTGTACTTTCCCAAACTTTCTGGGGTATAAAATTTATAGCTCTTGAATAAAGATAGACTTGTAATACTCTATGCAGGCAACAACAGCGCAAGAAGAATCACAACGTATGACTGCAGTGCGGAAAGCTTATCAAATAGCCATTATTACTCCCACTCATCATGTTGAACAACTGTGGAAGGATTACGAGAATTTTGAAAATTCTGTTAGCCGGCCATTGGTACCATGTTTCTCCCCTTCTCATTACAGTTTCAGTAAACATGCTTTCTTACTTTTTGTGTTTTACGCCAGTGAATAAAAACTTGAAGTTGAGTCAACTTGCCCGAGTTGACTCAACCTTGTGATCCACTTAGTTTTCGAATGAGTTGACTCAATCTGACGATCCACTTAGTTTGTTAAGTGCAAAACTCACCTTAACTGGCTTCTTGACAAAACTCAGTATTAAGAGAGGGGTATATGTTGTTATTTTCCCAATTTTAGCCTTTTATGGATTTTTCTTTTACTGCTTTTGATATGAAATACTAGCCTAGCCATCATGCTTTTGGCTTTGGATGAGAATTAGTCTGAGTTCAACTCTATAAACTCTGTTTATTTATTTGCTAGAAACTCAACATCATTAAGCATATGGAGCATTAGGGGAACTTGATGATAATATGTTTTTCAGGCAAAAGGTCTGATATTTGAGTATCAACCAAAGTACAACAGTGCCAAGGCTGTGTATAGGGAGAGAAAGAAATATGTTGATGAGATTGACTGGAACATGCTAGCTGTTCCACCATCAGGTTCCATCAAGGTATGTTTCTTTGTTTATTCCATGATTCAATCTATTGATTTCCTTACTGATAAAAAAAGAAAAAAAAGGTCTACTGATTTCCTTGTGAGAAAACCATATTGCTTGATTACTGGACTATGGATCCTATGTCTTTGCAGTCTTATGTGATAATGTTTTTATTTTCTTATGCAAAGGATTTCAACTGAGAAATGATGAGTTATTGTGACTTTTAATTTTTCCTTAGACCCTTGAGTAGTGGAAACCAAAAATATTATCAAATAGAAAATTTTGGACTGGGAATTAATTGTTTTACTTGCATTTTATGTGGGTTGGGTTCTTCTCATTTTCTTCTAGAAAAGAATCAAGGTGAAGGAAGTGGCAATGCAGAATTCCATGTTCAAAAATTTCTTTCATTTCTTTTATTCATTATCAGAGCCTTTTTCCAACTATTTGGGGTCAGCTATATGAATCCTGGTTCGCTATTATGCTCTATCAAGGACCATACCCTCAGTGAGGTCACAAGTCCCCATATATTTTCTCACTACTTCCAATCATATCCTTTTGGACCTACCCTTGCCCTTTTTTAGGCTTTCACTTGAACCAATTCGCACCTCCTAACAGGTGCTGTACTGATTCTACGCTGCACGGCCTATTGGAGCTACATCTAAGTTCTTCCTAATGTATTCATTTCGAATTCTATCCCTTCTTGTCTTGCCGCTTATCCATCTCAACACCATCATTTCAACTGCACTCATCATATAGGTATGTTGTTTCTTGATCACCCAACATTCTGCCCCATAAAGCAAAGCTGGCCTCACAACTATCCTATAACTTTCACTTCAGCTTCCTTGGTATATGGTGATCACATAAAACTCTGGTTGTATATCTTCACTTCATCCACCTAGCTCTAATTCTATGTGTGACATCTTCTTTAATCTCTCAATTTTCTTGGATTATCGACCCAAGATATTGTAAGTATACCCATTTTGGTGTATCTTGGTCATCAATCTTAAATACTTTAACGTCTTTGCTCTTATTAGTACTAATTTTTTTCTTTTTCTTTATTACACACGATGCCCCAATTTGGGCCCCACGTGTTTGAGACTTGGGCCCTCAGCCCCCCACCCATGGTCCCACCAATAAAAATTCATAATTCCTAAAATACCCATATTATTTCAAATTTACAGAAATACCCTTGTAGGTTTTTATACATTTATAATTTGTTTTTAGATGTTTTTAAAATGTCCAAAATTCACAGTAGCACATTTTAGTTCATCATCATCATTTTAGCCTTTTCCCAATTAATTGCGGTTGGCTATATGAATCCTGGTTTTTCATTCTGCTCTATTAAAGGCCATATCCATAGTAGCACATTTGAGTTAAAAATAATAATTTTTGGAGTTCCACAAAAATCCAAAAAACACAGAAATACAATGTAGAAGTGGATACGTACCTAATGGGTGAAAAACAAGTGAATATCAGGGCACCCCACCTGTGCCAGGATCCATGATCACAACTGTCTTCTCACACTAACCCAACGAGACTCATGACCCACAATTAAGTGCAGGGGATCATGATTTGCCCGTCAAAGTGAGGCAATAAGCAATGGAACCATAGTCCCAATATGTGGATAACAGGTTCTCCCCCTTAAGCGCAAGTCAAATGCACACATAGTGCAAGGGGGCGCTCTCTCTATGCACATGTACACGTGTCCATTTATATAAGTTTGCTTTCCAAAATGCGGCTGTCATGAATACATGTTGTGCGGAAGTTTTATTGAGAATTTGGCCTTCGCTCTCACAGGCCCTTCCCGCACACAAGAGACCATAAAACTTTTCTAGCCTACAAACAACACCTCTGGGCATCTCTTTGACCTCAACAAGGATGACTTACAATAACCCCTCAATGGTAGTGCCTCATGCCTAGGGGTAAGGGTTTTGGACATGACCTGGGCTGAGCCATAGACTGCCTAACCCTAGGTTAGTTAATCAAACTACATTCCCATTGAAGCCCACAAATCACTATAAATAATTTTCTTTACAAGTGCTCTAGGCTTTAAAGGCCACAAACCCTGACACAAAGCAACTAAGCAAGTAGTACATAATTTTTTTAGTAATTATTCTTAGATATGATTGGATTTGTAACATTTGTTACATATAGATATGCTATTACAATTATGACTTATGAAGAGTTAACCCTTACTATGAAGGGGTAGCTTTGCAAGATCTGCTAATATCTTCTTAGTTACTTCTTAAAACAAATTTTTTTTTGGAGAACATGCTCTCTTTATAATGATTGATATGTATCTCTCTAGAGATGAAGGCATACACGTCATTGTGATGTGTGTTGGTCTTAAGTAAGCATGAGTACACAAAGATCTTTTTCATATAAAATATGCATCTATTAGGGATCTAAGATATCTATCGCACTGATTATCATTTGAAAACACCTTTGAGAGCATGGATGTACTGGAGCTAAAGGAGGTGTTTCCTCCTCCAAAAAATCAGTATCATTAAAGCATGTTGTCTCCTAATAGATAAGAGCCTAGGATATAGACCTAATTAGAAAGGCCTTATATTACCTAATTGAGACCAAGCTATCACTTTGTTTGCCTAGTTAATTTATGTCCGTATTAATTCTCTATGCCATCTTGGATTGATGGACCACACATGTCATTGTTATTTGTAACAAAAAGGCTATACATGGCCCTAAGAGATATATGACAGTGAATCCTACATCTTTCTATTGTTCTTGCTTTGAATTCTTACATGTTATTTCCTATTTATGTTATTCAGTATGCATTTGTGTCATTTAAGTCGTGCTTGATTATGCAATCTTGCTGAACAAAATCCAAATGGGAAGGCATTATATTGACAAGATGCATTATAGTTAGTGTGAATGCTGTCATTGTTTTAGTTATGGATGAATGCATCAATTGAAGGCATTATATTGAGAAGATGCATTATAGTTAGTGGGAATGCTGTCATTTTTTAGTTATGGATGAATGTTGTTTATGCTGTTAGTGATACTTATATCAATATTGGGGAAACAAATTCTATTTGGAAGGCTGTACAGATATTGCATTGCATCTGTTTTGGTGTTCATACATAGTGATAAATTCCATATAAATGATATTTGTGTCTTTGACTTGCAACCTGAAAACTTGAACTTGTTTGCATTGTCCTGCAGGAAGAACAACAGTGCTTGGCATGGAAAAGATTGTTAGCTTTTGAAAAGTAAGCACGTAATGTGTTTTGAGTGTGAATTTGAGTTATTCCTGTGAGCACTCAAAGAACACATACTTTTTTGATTAGTGTAAAATTTATCTAACATGAGTATTTGGTTCTCGTACAATGAACCTCTCTCATGATTAGTTAATACTTGGTTCTTTTACCCTTTCATGCGCTAATCAAGAAAGAGTTTCAAGAAAAAGTGAATGGTCCTGCTTAGTTTTTGCTTTTTCATTTTGCAAGGGTTGTGGCATTCACATGACTATCTTTTTCTATCTTTCTACATTTTGATCTATCACTATGGCTGATCTTCATCATCATCATCATCGCAGCTTTATCCCAACTACTTGGGGTTCGCTACCTGAATCTTGTTATGCTATTCTGCTTTATAACGGGCCACACCCTCAGTTAGACTATAAGCCACCATATCTCTTCTTACTTCTTCCATCTATGTCCTTTTGGGCCTTCCCCTTGTCCTCTTAGAGCCTTCCACTTGAACCAAATCGTCCCTTCCAACCAGTGCTCTATAGGTCTATGCTGCACATGGCCTAAGTCTACTTTCCCTCATCTAATCGCGCCTATTGTAGCCACTCCTAAGTTCCCTCGTATGTATTTATTCTGAATTCTATCATTTCTTGTCTTGCCACTCATTCATCTCAGCTGCATTCATCCTATGGCTATGTTGTTTCTTTACTGCCCAATGTTCCGTCACATAATCTATATCTATGGCTGATGTTTAAAAATATTTTTACTAGTAAATATGTAGTGATAAGTGGTACCTTGATCAATGGGATTGCTTGGAAAGTGGTTTTTGTTTTACCATTCTAGCCTTTTATCCTTTTCATGGATTTGTTTTCTGTAGTGAAATTATTGCTCGTTTCTTTGAATCAATTTGGTAGAACCTATGAGATGTGAAATAGTTCCAAGAAAAATGTCATAATTGGCTTGAAAAATTTGCAGTGGATAAGCATATAATTGATCATTTCCTCATCCTTGACACTTGACAACATTTGAATCATCTCACCTAAGGGGGTGACCTGATATATGATTTGGTAAGATATGCAGCCCGATGGCAGCATTTTAGTTTATGTGTGAATGAAGTTTTCTGCCTACTGGTCATAAGAAAGCCAACACCACTGAACCTTTACCAGTCCTCTCAGGCCTCCCAATCTAAGGGTCTGGGCTTCACATATGAGCTACAATCGATGTTTAATGTCATCATCATCATTGGCTTCTCTGAAAAGCTTCCACATTGGCATTTGCACCACTGGGTTTTTGCGTTACACAGCTGCATTAAGTAATTCAATCCTCCAATTGCCAACATTGTTATCGACTCTAATGCCATGTAATTCTTTCTTTATTAGTGCATGAATGTGATGGATAACTGATTTCCAGTGGATATGGACTTATGGAGAAACTTCAATGGTACCCAGGTTGTCTATTTTCATTTTGGATATTTAGATGCCTTTCATCGAAGGAAAGAATATAGCTTTTCAAAATTTTCCAATTTGTGTGTATGCGTGTGCGCGCGCGCACATGTTCTTGCGAAATCTAAACAAGTAACCATCAGGTGTGAATCAAGGCAGTGTTACTTACCATTTTTCATTGTGTCGATGCTTGAAATTGTTTAAGGTCTGTTTGATAACATTGTAATACCCTGATTTTTAAGGATATTAGAGGTCTTATCATCATCACTAGAGTCTTATTCCAACTATTTTGGGGTCGGCTACACGAATCCTGTTGGGCTATTCCACCCTATCAAGGGCCATACATAAGATTGGTTTAGGATTCATAAAAAAGATGTGACACAAGTTTTATGCTGGCTGCCCACCTAACACAAGCCTCCTTTCTCCGGGCTTGGGACCGGCATGATTGGCTTGGGACCGACCATGGTGGAGTTATATTATAGAGTCTAATATATTTTTTAATTATAGAAGTTGGTGGACCATGTTTGATTGGATCGAATCATATCAGGGTATATCCAAATAACTGTCTAATATTTGAATCCCCAAAAATTCCACTCTGAGTTGAAATTTCGGGGATACTAAAAATTGTATTGAGCAGCATTCCATGTAATTGACAAACTCTCTCTCTCAGCCTGGCCCTTTCTTCTCAACCAAGATACCCACTCTCTCTCGTTCAGCCCTCTAGCTCTTGTCCCACCTTTGTGAACCACCTTTTTGTCTATTTCAATGCTGCATGATGAGAGAGAAAGTGGAGCAAGAAATAACCACTTTTGTTCTCTCTTTAAAAGTAAAGAGAGAGTATGGAGTGAAAGTAGAGAGCGACCCACATCTTCTCTCTACTTTTGCTTCATACTGCTTTCTCTCTACTTTCAGCTTCATCTGAATCAGAACCACCTCTTGTTCTCTCTCTAAACACCAGACCCCTTGTTAGAGCTGTGAATTGTCATGATAAAGATGGTTTCAGAGATAGAAAGCTCTCGCCCATTGGTTCCACAAGCTTGTTCTTCTCCATGGCAATGGCTAGGGTTTGAAGAAATGATGGTCAACCCGGTTTATGTCCTCCATTAGAACTAGGCGTCGGGGTTCGAGAGCAGAGCTAGGGTTAGGGTTTGGGCATGACTGTAGGGCCAAAGAAACACTAAACCATTGTTTTTGCTAGTTTTCTCTTTCCAACCCTATCAGAGCCTCTAATAAGCAAGCAACACACTGTGTTCTCATCCAAGAAAGCCTCTAAACGATAGGGATAACACCCATTAACAATGGTATATATTCCTGCAAATCTCTGCAAAATCTATTGGGCTTATGAGAATTTTCCTTCTCTCTAGAACAGGGGTTGCAGAGCCACTTTTGGTTGTGTTTTCACTTGAATCCAAGCCCCAGGCAAGGGTGGTCCTCACTTCTCCATTTGAGCCATTTTTGAAGCTCTGAAAGCTGAGGTCTTTGGGTCTTTTTACTGGTTCTTGGTGGTTATTTCCATTGTTTTATATGGATCAAAATTGTTGGGATTTCTGTTGTTTTATATGGACCAAAATTGTTTCTCTCTCTAAAACCAGTGTGAAGGGCAGCGAAAGTAGAGCGAGAAAGCAGTATGAAGATGAAAGTAGAGAGAGAAAGCAGTATGAACCACCTTGGCCACGTGATCAGAGAGCATAAGTAGACAGAGAAAGAGAGTTGTGTCATGCATATTACTTGCACCTTGTCTCTTTTCATAAAATATGTCAAACGTGTATAGAAAAACACATATCAGGACAATATATAATTCATAGATACATGTAAAGCAGGTAATGGCTTTATTCAGATTTCCAGAAATTTGAATACGACTTATCAAAATTTTCCTCTGTGTGTGAGCATGTGTGCACACACGTGCGTGTGTGGGCATGCTCATGTGTGCGTGCATGTGCTTACGAAATCCAAATAAGTAACCATCAGCTGTGAACAGGGCAGTGGTGCTTGTTACGTTTATATCCTTGCGGGTTGCATCACCAGTATTTCATCGTGTTGATGCTAATATTGTGTAAAATAATAAATTTCATCTAGTTTTTCTCACTTGAGCTTGTAGCTTATATTATCTGGCTTTTTCACATGTGTTTCTATCTTCCAATTTATTCTTTCTTTAGATTTTGAAGCTTCACTTATGACTGTTCTGTAGGGGAAATCCACAGAGAATAGACAGTACATCTTCTAATAGAAGAGTCATATTCACATATGAGCAGGTATTTCGAGCGCTAGTTGAATGATGATGCTTTTACCCCCTATCTGAAACACTCGTTACTGATGGGACTATTTTACACACTAGATACAGTGGGGATAAAAAAACAAAATAAGAAATGAAGCTTAAATACAGCATTTGGGGATCTTGTCTGTTTGATTTGTTCTGTTTGTAATTAACTAAGTATCTATGCGTTTTCTCCTCTTGTTGGACTTTGCATGCATATTTAATATCACAAATGACTTTGGCTGGTCCTGGGAATTCATTGGGATGCACCATGTGATATCTCATTTTCTTTTGTGGACCTTATGTTTTTAGTACTAATGATTTCATTGTATTTGGATTTCCAGTGCCTAATGTACTTGTATCATTATCCTGATATTTGGTACGACTATGCAACATGGCATGCAAAGAATGAACCTAGAGATGCTGCAATTAAAGTGTTTCAGAGGGCTTTGAAGGCTCTGCCTGGTATATCCTCTTACTTATTCGGGTGATAATTTGAAACAACTTGAATAAAGTTGAATGTTGAACTATTATTTTGAAGCAACTTGAATAAAGTTGAATATCGAACTTGATGAATACATGTGGAGTTCCTTGGATACCCTTTAGTCCTTTACTAATCTCTACTCCATCATTTGTTTCTGCATACTGCTCTTTCGCATTTTGCAATACTAGAAGATCACTCACGGTCATAAAGACTTACAGACCCCTTTCTGTTAAAAAGCATGCATCTCCCTCTTTCTTAAGTATAATGCACATTTCTACCTGCATTCAACATATTATTTATTATAAAGTATCTAGCTTTATGTCCTCTTGTTTGAAATTCATCGAAGCTTATTTAAAGCAGTCAATACATGGGATAAATATCCTCTCATATAAGTACAGTCTCTTTAAAAAAAAAATTTCTGACTGTAAAGCAGTTGAGGGTATCTTTTGGCTTAGCATTTTTGAACTTATTTGTTTTGCGGGTCAAAGAAGTGCAAATAAGAGCAAACAGCAAGTTTGATTTGATTGAGCTTCAAAAATAACCTGGCTTTGGCGCTCTGTTTGCAAAAGACAATGAGCTTCAAAAATAACCTGGCTTTGGCTCTCTCTTTGCAAAAGACAATGAGCTTCAAAAATAACCTGGCTTTGGCTCTCTGTTTGCAAAAGACAATGTCTCATATTAGTTGGGATAGAATGTTCTTGTTGTCTTGCTTTGCCCTACATATGGAAGTAAAACAATCTGTATTCAAGAAATTTATATGGTCACAAGCCAAGATTGTTTGGCCATTATGGAATTCAAATAACCAACAAAGAGCCGTGAACCCTTACAAGTTGAACTCTTATACTCTACTCTTGTGTTTAAAGCATAGGAGATGCTATAATGCAGTGTTCATATGCCTCTGCTGTCTATTGAGTTTGGAGACACATTTGATCCGCAGGTAAGTGACATAATACCTTTGTGTACTTCATTAATTACAAACAGATAGTTTTTCATGTTGATGTACTTCTAAGTGGATGTTCAGATATAGTTCTGCAAATGGCTAGTCGGTACCCCTTGTTGCTATTGCCTTACCATTTGTGGTTGTCAAGTTTTGATCGAGAAACTGAAAATGCAGCATTGGTGCATCATGAAGCCTGTACGAATTCACTATTAACTTCAAAGATTCTGAAGGTTTGGTGGGTCTGCATGTGCATGTGGGTGTTCTTAAATCTATATATTGTCATATCATGGATGTCCAATGAAACTGTAAGGGAAGTTGTATAGGATGGCTGTAAGACCAGCCATGCTTTATGGGACAAAATGTTGGGGGGTCAAGAAACAACATGTGATTAGAATGAGTGTAGACAAGAAAGAATAGAATTTTGAATGACTACATCCAAAGGAACTTAAGGTGGGTAGCTCCAAAAGGTGATAAGATAAAGGAAAGTAGACTTGGGTGATCTAGCCATGTGCAGCATCGACCTGGGTTAAGAGGGGTGATTTGGTTCAAGTGGAAGACCCTAAAAGGGTAAGGGGAAAGCCCAAAAGGACATCGGAGGCAGCTTCAGAAACTATCGCGGTCTCTCCCTCTCGTCCTTCTCATTCCATATCGGGATAACAGATTCCACCTTGGTGGAAGCTCGAGCGGCCGCGCCCTTCTGGCAGGCCTCAGAAGCTTCAATCCCAAATGGAGCTCTACCTTGGTTGTAGAAGGAGACTCCAAAAATGTCATTTCGTGGGCCTCCCAAGTGGAAACCCCACCATGGGGTATGTGGACCATATTTGATGAGATTTTCGAAATTTGCAAGTATATTCAAGTTTCATGGACTCATACCTAGAGGGGGGCCAATCAATGGCCGACAATCTAGCTAAGCAAGGAGCCGTGCAAATACCGCCTTAACTGTTGCTGCTTGGATCCCTTTCGTTTTTGCTATCACCCATGATTCGAAATGTGTTGTCTTAAATATTTTTGCTTGTCTTTTTTCCTTTTTTGGGTTATGACATTTCCTTTTTGGCCTCTTGGCAAGGTCTGTGTGTTATTGTAAATTGTAATCTCTTTTACTCTTAACAGAAAGTAACTGCTTCAAAAAAAAAAAAAAAAGCCCAAAAGGACATGGATGGAAGTAATGAGAATAAATATGGTGACTTATGGTCTAACTGAGGGTATGGCCCTTGATGAAACGGAATGGTGGAACAAGATTCGTATAGCTGACACCAAATAGTTGGGATAAGGCTTGGATGATGATGGTGATGATTTAATCATGGATGTGGGAGTATGGACAATGACAAGGCAATTTAACTAGGATGATTATCAGATTTTCTTGATAAGTAATCTAACTAGGATGATTATCAGATTTTCTTGATAAGTAATCTCATTGTTGAATTTCCTACATTGGATCTCAATTGTTCCAATGGTTAATTACTTGATTGTCTATTTGCGTGTGCTGCTAGACCAATCCATTAATAGCCGTTACTGCAGATAACTATTGTCATCTGTAACTATTATATACCCTAGAAGTTCATGATAGATACTACTTCTTCTTCTTTTTTAAAATGAAAGTTGAATTTAGATATTTTGTTGGTGTAGCTCATATTAACATTCTTATTGGCTGTTTCACTTGTGCTGCTGTTTTGCGTCTAGCTAATATATGTAATTTGATTGTTTTTTAACAAATTATTTTTTATGAGATGATGCAGTTCATATTTGATGATGCCATGATCATGAATATATGGCTTCCCTTTTTTTTTTCCTGCTTTAGATTCGGAAGTTCTTAGATATGCCTATGCGGAGCTGGAGGAATCCCGGGGGGATGTGCAAGCAGCAAAGAAAGTATATGAGAGTCTTTTGGCAAATAGTGTCAATGCAACAGCATTGGCACACATACAAGTAAGATTTGTGCCATGGTTAAGTATGTTGTAATCCAATGAACTCTAGGAAAACCATAATCTGTTTGGCTCCACCTCCAGAGAGCATGACAGGATGGGACACCATAGTGTCTTCCACTCTCTGCATCACCATAAGCCATTTCGACAGATGTGGTGATAACCAAATGGATTATAAGTTTTTCTTAGTCCGTAAAATTAATTATTTTTGTAGTCCATAAAATTATTGTTATGCTTTGCATTATGCCATTTATTGGCTATGCTTGGTATGCGGCCTATTTTTTGACCGTTGAATTAACTTTGCACTTGAGTTGCTGCTGCAGTTCATGCGGTTCTTACGAAGAACTGAAAGTGTTGATGCTGCCCGCAAGTACTTCTTGGATGCTCGGAAATCTCATAACTGTACTTACCATGTATTTGTGGCTTATGCCTTGATGGCATTTTGCCTTGACAAGGATCCAAAGGTTTGTAAGGCGTCTATGCTAATGTTTCTCATTCATCTAGAACGTACTTGATTTATTAATGTGGACTTTTTGACCTTTTTTTTCTCTTTTTTCTATGTTTTTGACCTTATAATATGTCTTCATCCCATTAATTTCTTGTAAATGTTCAAATCCCATATGGAATTTCTTGTAACATGTTCAAATTTCTCCTCTTATCTCAAAAACAGAATGAATTGTTCAAATTCTCACTTGTTTATTAGTTTTACCAGTCATCATGACATTGCAAACGTCACGCAGGGTAATATTATTAACCTGGTTTAGCAACAGGCTGCTGTTTTTGGCTTTTTGTAAAGGGTGTGGTTTCTATAAGGTTGCAACCTTAAACAGTCCAATTAAGGTGCACGTCCAAATTTTATCATAACATGTAATTTTGATGTAAAAATTCTTAAGATTATCTGAAAGGCTAGTTTCATATCTAATTATAAAATTTTAAACTCCAAAAATGGTTCAAATCAAGTGGATCTATAAACATATGAAAATCTTGAAAATAAACGGTCTTAGATAATATGTTGCAAGATGCACTATTTTTGGGACTAAAAATCTTGTTTTTTTTTTTTTTCCATATTCACACATCTTGATGCCGAGGAGATCAATTAGAGGGTTTTTCAATACTAAAACAACCTTTTTCGATATATTTTTGAGGTGCATCTTTAATTCTACATTTTAAGTTTGCAACTTTATATAAACTTTTTCCTTTTGTAAAATATGCAGAATTTGATGATACATATAGGAAATGAAAGAAATCATATTTTATAATGCTTAAATGACATCCAAAGCAGAAAGACTGAAAGAGCACAACAGCTCACTGTTGGAGTCAATAGGACACTCAATTTCAACAACCATCATGCTAGGACAACCATATATGCGAATGGAGAAACCAGGAGGAGGAACCAAGAGCTCTTCCTCCCCTCTATTATTGTTTGAAGCTCAACCCCTAAGCTCCACCCTACCATTTGGACAGCCGACCCTGCTACCTCTCCCCTTCCTTGCTGGTGGCTCCTCTTCAACTGAGACCCCACCCCCATCCCCTCCTCCCCTTCACCCATCTTCGTGCTCATCGCACACCCTCCCCGTTGCTGACCCCATTGAAGCGGATACCTCCTCTTCCTACCTTCCTCTCCCCCCTCCTCCCATCCTCGCTTCACCCTTCCCTCCGCCATATTCACCCGACTACCTGATATCCATGGGGGTTCAAGCATCCATTTCCCTCATGCTTTTTGCCTCTTTCCCCATGGAACCCCTCAGTGACATCCATGCTTTTTCCCCACCCGTTCTACCTCTTCCCCTCTACCTCATCCCCACCTTCACAACCCCTGTCCCCTTTTCCCCCGTTCACCCATAGCTTTTTCTCCCAAATTACCTAACCCCAATCCTTTCATGTGGAATCCTTATCTTAAACCTCTTAATTTAGTTTACCCAGGCATTCGATTTCAATCCCTACCCTCATCTCTTGGAAGCATTCCCTCCCTCTTACCGGCCTGTTCACCTCCCCCTCTATTGGTCATATTTGAGCACCCTCCTCACCTTACACACCCCATCCTCCTGCCCTTGAGCACTTCCCAGACTTCTTTAACCCCCCTCCCCTGCCATCCATCCCAGCCCCCTCCTCTTCACCCCCTTTTATATCTCTTTTTCCTTCTTCTGACTTTCCCCCTCTTCCCTCGCTGAGGACTACCCCCTCTTCCTCTATCTAGTTCACTTCCCCGTCCATCAGTACTTCCATCGGCAGCTTGTAATGGCAGGGGCGTCTAAGTCACTCCCCATCACAGAGCCACACCGGCGACACGACATCCCCAGACAGCTCCCTTACCTTCTCGCCTCAATCGGTGGATTCTAACCTCATGGAAGGGATGGATCAAGCTCATGGTGACATCAAGGGAGTCCTCAAGGTGATGGGATTCAAGAACGATGGGTCCAACAAGGAGATTCAGGACTTTCTCTTGGCTGATAGCCTGATGCCGAGAGTAGACTCAAGCAGAAGTTCTCATGACGTAGGGAGCTTGCAAACCTCCATTGTACCATTTCCTACGACAGGAACGGTCCTCCCCCATCCCTCCTCTTGTTGGAAGCTCAACCCTTATGACCCGTCAGGCATTCACCCAGAAATGATGCCTCTGCCAGCCCCTAGTTCGATGAAGATTCTTTTACGGAACGTGAGGGGTCCTGGCCACCCCTAAAAACACAACTTCGTCAAAGACTTCTGCCTCCAATTCTCTTCATCAGTGCTAGCCTTAATCGAGACCAAGCTCCCCCACCCCACCCTTCCCCAAATCCCTTCAGAATGGGGATCAAGAACCTGTCAATGGGAGGTGCTGGATGCCCAAGGGGCCTCGGGGGGCATATGGGTCAATTGGGACCCCTCACTCCACTCCCTATTCCAATCCACGGTGTGATCTTTCTCTGTTACTCTTGGCCTATCGAGGTTCTCAGACTGTTTTCTTTGGAGATTCTCGGCCATCTTATGGACTGAATTGGAAGACCTAGCGTCCTTTCCTCCCTTCCCCTCCCCCTCCCCCTCCCCCTCCCCATGATGCCTCGGGGGAGATTTCAACATTTCTAGGTGGTCTTATGAAAGAAACGCAAACTCTACAATCTCGCAAGGCATGCTGGAATTCTCGGATTTCATCTCTAGAAATGAACTCCGAGACATTCCTTTACAAGGGGCCAACTTCACCTGGTCGAACCATGCCTCTAACCTTCCATGTCCAAATTGGACAGATTCCTCACTAATTTTATTTGGGATGAGGCCTTCCTAGGTTCCCATTCCCACTCTCCCCCAAGACCACCTCGGACCAGAAGCCCATATTACTGGACGCCCAAAGTGTCACCAGAGGCCCTACACCCTTCAGATTTGCATTGGCTTGGCTCGAAGATCCAAACTGTCCCTCACTAGTCTCTGCCTGGTGGACCTCTTTCTCCTCCTATAGCCATGGCTGGGCAGGTTTCTACCTCCAAACACAAGCTGCAGCTCCTCAAAGCCAAGCTTAAATCCTGGAGTTGCCAACTTCCAGGCAACTTTAGAGCACAAAAAACACAGCTGCTTGATTCTACCGAACCCTTGACCACACAGAGGAGACCAGATCTCTCTCACCAGGAGAAAGTCTTCTAAGAACCCAATCAAGGGTCGCTTACCTGTCCATCCTTCGTATTCGTAAGGAAGAAATATATTGGTTCCAATGCTCAACAATCAGATGGCTCAAATGTGGAGACAACACCACATTCTTTCATAAAATAGCTAACTGCCGAAGGAGGGACAATTCAATCACCAACTTTGACAAGTCCTCCCCTCATCCATCCTGCCATTACCGATTTCTTCAGTTCGCTATTATCAGCACCCCCTGGGACTAGAACCAAAATGGATGACTTGTCTTTCAACATCCCGCTGGAAGCAGCAGCCCAGTTGGAACGACCTTTCCTGGAGGAAGAAATCCTCTCAGCAATAAGTCTTTTAGCCCAAGACAGGGCCCTGGGACCTGAAGGGTTCCTGGTAGCGCTTTTCAATACTTTCCAAGACTCTCTCAAACTTGATGTCTTAGCATTTTTTGAAGAGTTCCATGAGAGGGGTATCATCCACAAGGGCATGAAGACTACGTTTATTCTTGATTCCCAAGGTTGAGGGGGCTGAAGAGCTCAAATACTTTCGCCCCATCAGCCTCATTAACAGCTCCTACAAGATCCTCTCCAAGGTTCTCACCACTCAACTCCGCACAGTCTTGGGATGGGTCATCTAGCAGCTGAGGGCCAGCGGTGTCGCATCTCCAATATACCAACGACAGACTCTTGTTCTGTGATGCTAATGCCCAACAAATGGACACTTCCTCCTCTTCCTCAAATTGTTCGAGCTGGTGGCTGGCTTTCATATCAACCTATCTGAATCTAAGATGATGGGGTCTGCACTAAGGCTCAAAATGTTCACTACTTGGCCGAGAGGTGGGGTTGCCAGGTTGAAGAGCTTCCTTCCACATGCCTAGGTTTACCTCTATGCCTGGGCTAGCCCAAAAAATGCCAGTGGAGCCACATCATCAACAAATTCGATAGGAGGTTGGCCGGCGGCTGGAAAGGGAGGTTCCTCTCATCTGGTGGAAAAGTTGTGTTGATCAAAGCCACTCTCTCTCTAATGTTCCAAATGTCAATGTTTCACATGCCCTACTCAGTAGCATCTCGACTTGAACTGCTGATGAGAAACTTCCTATGGTCTGTTGAGGGAGGGACAAACATGATCACCTGATTTCCTGGGAGAGAATGTGTCGCCCCAAAGGCGAAGAGGGACTTGGAATCTGTGTTCTCAGGCTCAACAATCTCTCCCTTCTCAGTAAATCGTGGTGGATACTTGCCACCCTGGACAATCAACTGTGGCAGGTTATTCTTCAACTGAAGTACTGCTGCGACAACCACAGTTGGTCCCCAAGATTCCCTACTTCTAGTCGGCCATCGGGTTTATGGAGATCCATCACTCGCTGTTACCAAGTCTTCTGCGCCAATATTCGATTCCACCCAAGAGAAGGGAACTGCATTCTTTTCTGGTCAGACTGTTGGATCGGTCACATCCCTTTAAAAGGCATATTCCCAAGACTCTTCCTCCTGGCTAGGGTTCCTCGGGCATCTGTGGCTGACCATTTTGAGGTCACGGGCTCCTCCAGAGCTTGGAATCCAAATTTCCGAAGAGCCTTTATGGAAGAGGAAACTGACGATTTCATGGCCCTCTCTACCCTTCTCCGCTCTCTACCCTTACCGACCACGGGCAGTGGCACTTTCCTGTGGTCCCCCAACCCCTGTGGCCAGTACACTGTCTCATCCCTCTATCGTGTCCTCTTGGCAATTGTGCCCCTACTGGCTGGAGCTCAAACTGTTTGTTCCAAAGCGTGGCTGCCATTCATTCCCCCCCTAAAATACAGGTTTTCATCTGGACAGCCATCGCCCGCAGAGCTTTAACTATTGACCAACTACAACATAGAGGCATCCCCTACCCCAACAGGTGTGTCATGTGCGACGAGGAGGAGGAATCCAATGATCACTTTTTCATACACTCTGCAGTTGCTTATGAACTGTGGGGAGTCATTCTTAGACGTTTCCAATGGACATGGGTGACCCCTCCCTCGGTTCCTCATATTTTCACCTCTCTTCACCCTTGCCCATGGTCAAAATCAGAGATCCTTCTTTGGAAAGCCTTGGTGGCCGCTACCCTGTGGGTTATTTGGATGGAAAGGAACCACAGAACTTTCCGTGGAACTAGGTCCACTCTAGCAGACATGAGCAAACCACATTCTCTCGTTGGTAATTTTCTGGGCCTCAAACCATACACCTTTCAAACACATCTCCTCGGCTAATTTTCTACAAAATTGGTGCGAAATGCTATATTTGCGGCCATCTAGAATCCAAGGGCAGCACTCTGGAGACTGCCTAAGGTAGGCCACCCAAAATTGAACTTCGACGGCAGCTACTTGAGGGACTCAAGCACTTAACCACGAATGGGGGCCAAATTTGGTTGTTGAAGGTGACTCCAGGAATGTTATCTCCTGGACAGCCAACTCTTCAATATGCCCGTGCAGACTTCTCCACATTTTTGACCAAATCCCCCACCTCTTCAGTAACCTGAATTTCTCTTGGAGATACATCTGGAGGGACGCTAATTCTGTAGCTGATCACCAAGCAAGAACAGGAGCTTTCTTAAATGGATGACAGAATCCTCCTAGGCGTAACTACTTCAGCAGTTTTCTGGTCGTGACACACCTTTTGTACTTGATGCGTATACACAGTCTAATTTTGTGATTAGCCCATATTTTTTGTCTAGTGGGGTACTCTGTTACTTTGTATAGCGCACCTTTTGAGTTGCCATTTTTTGTACTCCCTCTCGCTCAATACGAAGTTAACTTTCTTAAAACAAAACAAAAAAAAATCGGCAACCATCAAATTTGATTTGTGGACTTTATTGAATATTCTTTCTCCCTGGATTTGGTTCTTAAAGCATCACATTTTATGCCTATATGTCATTATTACCAACCTTCTTCAGAACCCTATTTCCCACACAGTTGAGAATTTTCGATGTTTCTTCTATTAGCAATGTACTGCTTACAAATAACTTCTGCTGGTTGGGTAATAAAGGGCAGGAAACATTTATTTGGTAAATAAAAAGAAAGAATAACTCTCTTTGGATACCGAGGGGGCTTCCCTTGCTCACTTGCCACAATGGGGAGCCAGATCATCAATTCGGACAAACTCCCAGGGAGGATTGTTTTGTAGACCAAGGATCTGGTCCAATGAGATCTACTTATGGATGGCCTTCTCAGGGAATTGTTCGCTGTTAGTTGACGCTTGTTGTGTGGACCATTTCACTGGTTTTCACTGAAATGCCATTCCTAGCCGGCAAAGAAAAATGAGCTTGCCCCAGTGTTGTTGTCGAAGAAATGATTAGAACATATGAAATATTCTTCCAATGGGTCAGCGTTGAACCGTCATCCTCTAAAATGTTAGTTTTCTGCAGTAACCAACTTGGACCCTTGACATACAAGATTGTACGCCTTTGTTTCTAAAATTATGCTTAAACTTTAGAACCTTGAACCTGCTATTCAGGAGTGGGATCACCTTAAATTTTTTTATAGCAGTAGGATGTCACTAATATTGGTGTAATTTGTGAAATGTGTTTGGCCTTCTTATGAGTATATGATATACATGTGCAGTTTTCCTTTGTGTGATTATAGATACATTAGACATGTATTTCTCTCTATCCATCGTCTTTCTCATTTCTCACTCCCTCCCTAGAAATATATATAGTTTTACATAGACATTTTTATAATTACGGACCGTTGCTGAATGTCATTGTAGGTTGCCCATTCTGTATTTGAATCAGGAATGAAGAAATTTATGCATGAGCCTGGATACATTCTTGAGTAAGTCATGTTTGTCGAGTCTCTGAACTTTCAGAAGTTGAACTAGCTAAATTGTAGATAAGACACTTTCTCAGTTCCACTAGGGTGGATTATTCGTTTAGTCTGGTGGTATCTGCAAAAGCCAACCCAAAATAGTTGGAGGCTCAGATGATGATGATGATGATGATCTGCAAAATTTATTCGTATAATTGCATTTTTCTCCCCCCTCCATGAGCAGGTATGCAGATTTCTTGTGTCGCTTAAATGATGATAGAAACGTTCGCGCTTTGTTTGAACGTGCATTGAGTTTACTTCCCCTGGAGGAGTCTGTTGAGGTATGGATTAGTTTTTAGCTATGAAGTTTGATTTTCTTTTGCTCTTTACATGATTTTTTCTGTTTTTTCCTGATTTGGAATATAACAATCTAGCAATTAGCAAGCCAACATTTGCGAACTACTGACTGATATCTCTTTACTGTGCTGTGGCATATGCAGGTTTGGAAACGATTTACGCAATTTGAACAAACATATGGTGATTTGGCAAGCATGTTGAAGGTACAAGATTTGCATTTTTGGACAGATTTTCTGTTTTATAATTAGTGAATAACATCAATGTTCATTTTCAATTGTTCTGAAAACATCAATGCTGAAGTTTCTTGTGCATGACATTGCTATTTTTCCCTTATCAAAAGAAGAAAAAGAACGAGACCTATTTGAGGCTTATAATTATACCGATTGTTTAATGCAATTTTTTGTGCATCACTTGACCGTAATTCCTCTTCAGATGTTGTCTTGGCATAGGTAGAACAACGAAGGAAGGAAGCTCTTTCTGGGACAGGCGAAGATGGGTCATCAACGTTGGAATTTTCATTACAAGATGTTGTCAATCGTTATAGTTTCATGGATCTTTGGCCTTGCTCTTCTAAAGATTTAGATTATCTAACTCGGCAAGAGGTAATTCATTTCCTGTTGACCATGATGTGTCATTTTTCTTGTGATAAGTTTCAAAGCATCCAAATTTTGAAGTGATCATAACATTCTTTCGACTTCCATTCTTCTAGCTCGATGGAGCATGTCTTTTGTTTGCTTGATTTCAGATATTTAGGCTCCTGTATAAGCTTTTCTTGCCTATATTGTCAAGTGTCTCCCTACTTATGTTACCCTGAAATTCTTCTGTGATATCTTCAAACTTTGTAGTATTGTGACGCTTATAGCTTGTATGGAGCTTGTCTTGTTGCCGTTTAGGGTTGGGAAGGATCTTGTCTTGCTGCCGCTTATTTATCCATATTAAACAAATAAACAAACAAAATGAATATATGATTTCATAATTGGGAAACAAAATGCTTATATTTCAGTTCATGTGTTAGTATTTGCACGATGGTTCCATATTATTGTTTGACGAGAGACGGGAAAAACAGAACAATGCATCTCAAAAGTCAAAATGGCTAGCTTGTTTTGCAGTAGAGTTTGGTTCACTAGCACTGTTCTTGACTTTCAAAATGGGTGATGCCTCTAATGATCATTATTTCCTCGTAATATCAAAATGCTTTACTTTGGGAGAGCTTTGAACTAATGGAATTGTGGGAGTTCCCCTCAATTGATGCTCTAAAGAAAAAGAATTCTTAGCTTGTCCAGCATAATCTCAAAATGTGCCTTGGAAACACTTCACTTCTTTACTTTTTAACTCCCAATCATCTAGCGCCAGCCTCTTCCTCAATCATTTTGTTGCCTACTTCCCCTTAATTTAGTCCAGATTTCTGGCTACTATAATCTAAAACATTATTTTAAGTTAGCAACTCACCTCCTTGGGCTCCCTCCTGAAGAATCTCTTCCATTCCATCGTTGCTTAAATGACCAAGGGAACCCGAATGCCTTCTCTAAGATCCTCAATCATTACACTTTAGTGCACCCAAGAAAACCTTTTATAATCATGATGTAGAAAATAGTAGTCGAGATTTCCATGAATATAAATTGTCACAAATAGTCCATGTGAACAAAAAAAAAAAAAATTTAGAAAACTGGAAACCAATGGAGTTATAACTATACTGTGAGTAGACATATACTTGTTTCTTGCTCTACAGTTAACATTCTTGTTTTCATTTTCGCAATTCCTAAACACATTTCCCGTTGGTGATTTGTGTGTATACACAGATAGCTAAATATATAAAGTTATAAAGCTTTTATAAATCTTCTGCATCTGAAGGATTTGAGTTCATTCATAACTTACATCTTTGTCCAATGGGAAAGTGGCAGAGTTTTTTATTACCTTTGTTATCCTGAGTAGTTTAATACATTGCATTAAGTACTTATTTGCGTACCTTTCAGTGGCTTGCTAAAAACATCAACAAGAAAGTCGAAAGAGCTGCACTACCTAATGGTGCTAGTCTTGCAGGTATTTAATTTATTTCTTGTCATTTATTTGGATTACTATATTTGTGCAGGAAGAAAAGGTGGGAAATTAAATCCACCATTTTTCTGCACTTTAAACAAGTAAAATCAGCAATATTGATAAAAGAACATGGCTGCAAATCAAGCCTAGAGAAGAAAAAATTTATTCTTTCATAAAATAAAATTTATTTCAATAATATATGCCTCCTAAAATATGACATCCAACCTTTTATAAGCCTGTAAAACCGTAATTGAACTTGAGATCCAAGTAAACATTTAAGACTTTAAAATGCCCCTAAAATCCCTCTATGAATAGTAATGCGTGGACAATATGTGTGAATACTACCAATGAACAGTACCATGAATAATACTCATGAATAGTAAATAAAAAAAATATAAAAACTCTAGAATTCCAAAAAACTTAAAATCTCTAAAATAAACCTTCAAAGTAAAGTCAAAATATACATCCTTTAAAACTGAATAAAAATAAAAAATAAGAATAATTTTGCCCTCCATTATTCTCTCCTGGTTGGAGAAAACTCATCTTTGAGTTTTGAAGTGTGCTAAGATCAGTGTTTCAAAAAGCGGACTGCCCAGCGCCTGGGTGGCTGCCCAGGAGGTCCAAAAGGCCTGGGCGCATCGCCCAGGCCTAGGCAGCCGGGTATACTCGGGTGCCCGGGAACCCGCCCAGACGTCCGCCCAGGGCCTGTGCCCAGCCCAGGGGCGGAAATGTCGCTCATTGAGGTCATTTTGGGTCATTTTTTTAATACTAAAGGTGCTAAATTGTGGGTTTTAAGTTTCAAATGAACCTAAAACCCATTAGAAGCTATTTTAGAGAGAGAAAAACCCCAAAATTTTTTTTTTTTTACTGGACCGCCTAGGATCTGAGCGCCCGCCTAGGCGCTAGGCGGCCTGGACCCCCCCGACCGCCTAGGTGTTTTTGAAACACTGGCTAAGATGAATTCAGCATCAAAACCACTTCAACCTTATTTTTCTTTGTCGGCTTAAATATTATTCATGGTAAAATAATTTTTCAAGAAATAGACCTTGATTTGTATATTGAGGAATCGATGCAAATTTATCAAATTCGGTTATTCTTGGGCTCCCATCAAACCATATTTCATGTACGTTAGAGGCTTTCTCAATATCTATGTCATTACGTTTTGAAACCAAGGGCACAATTTGCAGATTCCGAGTCGACCCCACTTCTACTGTGCAACTATGATTCCAATGCTCTAAATCTCTTAAATGTTCCACCTCTTTGATATCCTAAAGATCTTCATCTTTTCCTTCCCCAAAGATTGGTTCTTGATCATCATAGATTGGATCTCTTTCAAGATTTTATTCATCATCTATAAGTATGTATCGAGAATTGGTGGCAAATCCCAATCTACAACCTGCTGATTTTCGACATGACCTCCACCAACAGCAATCTCGTTCTCCTTCAAATCATGTAAATCAACTAAATCACATGATTTATTCTCCTGAACATGAGGTTCCCAACGAGGAGCGTGTGCATAAAACAGGTGGTTGAAGACATCTTCATCATTTTGCTCCAACTCTTAGTCGGACTTTGATTCGTGCCGTTCTCCATTAAAACCTTTAAGATTTTGATCTATCCCCATAGATTTCTTGTCGTTTAGGGCACGCTGATGTTGGCCCCTCTGCTTGCATAGCAATAGCTCTATAACCCTGTCCGTCAATTTTTTGATTTCGTTGTGCAGTTGGATCAGATTGGCATCCCTATGGCTAAGACTTCCACAATAAGCTATCGCAATCTCCAACCGCCCTTGAACCATGCTTGGATACCACTTGATGCAGGAAAAAAATGGTGGGAAATTGAATTCACCTTTTTTCTGAGCCTTATACAAGTAAAATCAACAATATTAGAGAAATAACATGACTGTAAATCAAGCCAAGAGAAGATAAACTTTATTCTTTCAAATGAAATTTATTCTAATAACATATGCCTCCCAAAATATGACATCCAACCTTTTATAAGCCTATGAAACCCTAATTTAAATTGAGATCCAATTAAACATTTAAAACTCAAAATTACCCCTTAAACAATACTATACCCCTGTGAACAGCAATGCATGAACAGTAACATGTGAACAATACACATGAACAGTAACCATGAGCAATACCATGAATAGTCTTGTGAATACTAAATAAAGAAAATATAAAAACCTCTAGAGTCCTAAAAAACTTAAAAACTCTGAAATAAACCCTAGAAATAAAATGAAAATATGTATCCTTTAAACTTGAATAAAAATAAAAAATAAGAATAATTTTGCCCTCTATTATATATGAGCATGGGTGCAGTTAGTAATGCTTTTATTTGCACAGATAAGAATCTTTCTGGACCATTGACTGACTCAAAGACCTCTACCCAATTTGGAAAAATCATCTTTCCAGATGTTTCAAGAATGGTCATTTATGATCCTAGACAAAAACCTGGTATGTAGTTTTATATTTGTATTAATATTGAATTTGGGCGGTGAGTGACTTTCATGGGATGAGATTAATGCTGGTAGAAAATGTATGGAAGATTTAAAAATTTAAGATAGTGGGATGATATGATTAACATTTCAAAAATGTTGACAAAGTGATACGATTAGGATTCAAGGTAATGAGACAACATGTAAGAGAATGTCAAAAGGAGTTTCCATCCTTGATGAGCGTGTAAATGAAGCGAAATATTGCATATAATTGTTGATGTGCAAAAAAATATTGAGACAATTGTTATTTGAAAAATGCCACAATTTTCTATTTGGTGCCAATGGTTTTAAAAAATACTTGTGCTTGTATTACTACCTTTATCTTAAAAAAGAAAAAAACATTTGTTATTTATAAAAAATGGTGATATTACTGATGGTTCATATTGCAATGAGATGTTGCACAATTTGGGCAGTTCAGATTCTTTGCTCTGCATGTGAAATAAAGTTTGTTGAATTTAATGTTTCCATGTTACTCTGAGGGGAAGGATACCGAACTAGGCTCTGGAAATCTGTGGTCTATCATGCTCATCATCAGCCAATGGAATCATGAATGGTAATGGTGAGAGTGAGACCATCATCGGGTTATGTGCTGTTCTATTGGGTTCCTCTCACTCTCATTGCTATCCATCATTTGGTGGGATAGTAATGACCCCTGTTGACATGGATTTCCATGGCTTAATGGATTGTATTTACTTGCTGTTATTTATTATGTCTTTTATGCTCTTATACTGTATTTTCCCCTTCCAGGTCCAGGATATCTTCCAAATGCTCCAGTCCCTGGACTACCCACAATTCCTTCCTTTGCTTCCCCTTTAGTGACAAATATTGGTGGTGTTGGAACTGCAAAGACACTTGAAGAGGCTTCGAAACTCTTGTCGCCTGCATTGGTGGCTTTTATGGCACAGCTGCCAAATGTTGAAGGTAGTTCTAGGAAGCACTGTGTCCTCTTTAAGATTTGTCTTACAATGGATCTCCATCAGTCTCTATTTTTTCTTCTTATAATGGTTAGCATCTATGGGGTTTTTGGTGTATGGTCTCATTCATGTCAGAAATACAGGTCTACCTGAATAATCTTTTGGTGCTTTATGCTTGACAAATTGGTGGCTAAATATAATATGTCTTGCCTTAGGTTTGCTTCAATCAGTGACTAAAAATTTCAAAGACTTGGCTCATGACTTGCCCGAGTTGGCTGTGCTCGGTGCCCTGGCAAGTCCTGTGGCAAATCTCAACACTCTTGTCAAACTTTGAGAATCGCCACGAGTGTCTTTTTTTTTGAGAAATTAACAAATTGTGTGTTAAAAATACTCGGTCGGAGTCAGAACTTACCCAATGATTGACTCGGGATTGAACCCTGCTTAGTCCCTACCAAAGTCTGTCTTTAAACACTGGCTTCAGTTTAAAGGTCCAGGATTATGCGACAGATATGCTCTCATGGAACATGCCCCAAAAAGAAAGAGGTGCTAAAATACTGGACCATTGAGCAATTTAGATATTCATCACTGGAGTAACAGTGGAGGATTTGTTGTTCCTTTTGAAGCTAAAGATGTGCTGTGTCATGGATATTTCTATAATAGAACCTGGTTCTTCTTCCATGGCTGCCTTTTTCAGTCTCGTTTCTTTGATTATAGGGCCATCACCCGATGTGGACTTGGTGTTATCTATCTTATTGCAAAGCAACATCCCAGTGGTTGGGAAAATGGCACCTCCTTTGATGCAAAATCCACCTTCTGGCCCCAACCAGAGTGCCGCAAATGAAGTGCCCAGCTCTAACAAGCCTTGGGCCAAGTTTAATGGTTCTGTAGTAAGGCCAGGCCAACCAGCAAAGAGGAAAGAGCCGGATCGTAAGTGAAACAGATCCCTCTCCCTCTCTCTCTCTCTTACTTGTTTTAACCTATATGTTCCAATATTTTTATTTTTTTACCTGAAGACAGTTCGCTCTCTCTCTCCTCTTCCCCCCCTTCTCCTTCCTGCACCCCTCCAATGCCTTGTTTTACCCTTTTTTCATTTGCGAGTTTTAGCATGGCCTATTTTATAAGAAAAAACACCCCTCACTAATTCATGGTTTCAACAGAGCCCGATGAAGAGGACAACAATGCCATGACACAAAGCCGACAACTTCCGGTGGACGTGTTTCGGTTGCGCCAACGGCAGCGACAACAGCATCAGAGGGGCCACCGAGTTGGCCTGGCCTCTTCCTCTCAACAGACTGGTTCGCTGTCAGGGGGCAGTGGTGCAGTTTCTGGTGGTGCAGTTTCTGGCGAGCCCTCAGGCAGTACCGAATAATTCCCACGAATCTTCTCTTTTTTTTTTTTTGGGGTGGGGCGGGTGTTGGGGGTGGTTTAGTAGTGCACTCCTCTCCTTATGTATTATTCTTCGTTTATTTGCCTAGTTTGTTTATGTTTATTTGTAAAATTAACATTTTTATTCTATATATTCTTAGTTTTCTCTTCCTCTTTTGAGTAGTGGTTCTTGTGACCGTTCACAGCTATTACTTTGAAACCAAAGAAGAATTAGATTCAATGTTTTATTTTTGTCCTAATTGATTCTCATTCGACATTAGAAATATATTGATTGTCTTTTTGTCCTAATTGATCCTCATTCGACATTAGAAGTATAGTGATTGTGTCCCAATAACTATTAATTCTCTTGTGAGTTTTTTCATAGAGAAATGCATTCGTCTTTAGACTTCAGCTAGGCTACTTGTGGTTAATGAATTTGCTGCTGTATTTATCATTGGGAAAATTGCACCCACATATTTGTACCTATGGACCTAAAACCCATAGGGTGAGTCAGTGGGGATAGGGCCCCTATCTTTGGTGGGAATTAAATCTAGGACGTAACGTTGCAAATCATCAAGCACTAACTAATTATGTCCGGGCTCTTTTCCTAAAGATGAAAATACTTTGCTAGATGTCATTAGTTTCATATTATACACTCAACCGGTATGATATACTGGGATAGCTTTCTTATGTGCATGCATGGTCATAATTTATGTGTAGGGAGACATGTTATCTAATCTCAAGCACTTGGCAATAATTTCATGTATTAATGAGAACTACAAATAACTTTCAATAATATACTTCTTACGCAACTTACCTCCAATTCAACTTTTTTTCTCTTTTTTTTTTTTCAAAATATATTTTTTTAGCAAATACCTTTCAAGTACAAAAATATACAATTTTTTATTTTATTTTTGATGAAAATACCCCTTTTCGTACAAAAATAAATAAATTTCAGCTGGACATTCACAGGGTATATATAGTACCAAAAGAATAGGACCCCATTAAACTAAGAAACATGCCGGATTGTGTTCAATCACGGTTGGATCGCATTGTGTCCAGGAAAAATGTGTCGGACCATTCGTTTAATTTGTTAGATTGCACTTTTGTCCAGACAAAAAAGTGCCGTAGCGCATGTCTATTCTGTCGGACCGCACTTTAGTCAAAAAACGATACTGCTGGACTGCTTATTCAATTTGCCGGATCGCAATTTTGACTAGAACGAAAGTACCAAACCGCATGTCTATTCTATCATATTGAAGTTTTGACCGGAACAAAAAGTGTTGAACCGCTTGTTTTGATTGCCGGACAACAGTTTTGACCAAAATGAAAGTGCCAGACTGCTTGTTTTGATTGCCGGACTATAATTTTGACCGAATGAGCGAAAGAGGAGAGAGAGAGGCGTGGGTACAAGTGTTAGGGTAGTTTAGTCATTTTTTTTGTTTTTGTTTTTTGGGTTGGGGGGTATTTGTTAGGAAATTATATTTGGGGTACAAAATGAGAGCAAAAGTTCGGTTGGGGTAAATTGCATACGAATATACTCGGTTTTTTTTTGTAATTTTTCCTATATTAATTAGAGATACTTATGGTTGAAAACAATAAAAACTATCTATGATATTGTAGATTATATTCAACTTTTGTACAAGATTTAGATGTGAAGTTACCTAGCACGAGTGTCAAAATTTGAAATTAAGTTTAATGGTAATAGAAAATGCATAGCGCGAGTGTCAAAATTTAAAATTAAGATCAATGGTTTCAACCTCATCTATACAAACAGTGTGCACTTCAAAAATCCAACGTAAAAGGTTGTTCTAATGTTTGAAAAACTCTACGACTGATCATCTCAACCTCATGGTTATGAAAAAAAATAAATTAAGGCCTTTAAATAAGACATCATGTAACACATTATCTAGGCTATCCATTTTTAAAAAATTGAAGTATTTCTAGATTTGCTTCATTTGCATCAGTTTTTTAGCTTCAAATTTTATAGTTTGGTTTGAAAGGTTATTAGAAGGCTCTCCGGCATTAAAACTACATATTTTATCAAGATTTAGAAGTGCTCAAGGTTGACATGTTATACAAACCACACCACATGGTAATATTTTTATACAATGCTTAGAAATTATGATAATATCATGGTACAGTGCTCCTTGGAAAATTGTGTAGAGGTGTGGTAGTACACAATAACTGCATTGAAGTTTTCTCAAAAAGCTTCACATCAACTGACCTGTTTGATCTCAACAACATCTCTTACTTGAGAGCAGACTAGTTGTTGTAGCAATAGTTATTGTTGTTATTTTTATTATTATGAAAAAAAATTTATATAAGGATGCAACATTAAAATGTAGAATTAAGGCACACCTCAAAAATCCATCATAAAAGGTGATTTTGATATTGGAAAACCTTCTAATTAATCATCTGGACCGTCTATTTTTTAGGATTTTCAAGTGTATATAGATCTACGTGTTTTGAGTCTTTTGAAGTTTACGATTTTATAATTAGAGATGAAAATAGATTATTAAGCCATCCTAAGAATTTTTCATACTAAAATAATATTTATAACAAAATTAAAAGGTACGCCTTAATTTGATTGTTTAAGGTTGCAACCTTATACAAAACCGCACCCTATTGTTATTATTATTATTAGGGTGCGGTTTGTATAGAGCCAAGGATCTAAAAAATCAAAGTAAAGCACACCTTCAAATAGTGTCAAGAATTGCGGTTTCAATATTGAAAACTTTTGTGATAGCCTTAAAATATATTTTCATCTCTAATTATAAAATTTAAAGCTTCAAAAATAGCGTAGATCAAGTAGATTTATGAAAACTTGAAAATCTTGAAAATTGACAGTCCAAAAATACATTACAAGATGCACTATTTCCAAAACTTGAAATCCACTTTTTTCTCATGTCCATGCATCTTGAAGTCGAGATGATCAATTTGAAGATATTTAGGCATCAAAACAACATCTTCTAGTGAAATTTTTTAGGTGCGCCCTAATTTGATTGTTTAGAACCTTGCACTTATATAAACTTTTTCATTATTATTATTAGGCTTCCCCCCGCCCCCCTAATGTTTTATCTTGAATAAGCATGATTTATCTTGAATGAGTGAAATATACCCCCTATTTCAAAATACCAATATTTTATCTTGAATAAGCATGATTTATCCTGAATGAGTGTTTGAAATAATACTGTTTTGCAAAAGTGACTAAGCTTCTTTTAGTTCCTTACTGTACTCAAGGTCCTAAAGAAGCACCTTTTCATTTTTTTTTCAAAACAAACTAAAATTTGTTCTATTTTCATACTCATTTTGCAATCATTCAATGTATGTCCTTGCTCAAAGTTCATAATTATTCATGAATACTGCCACTAATTTTTCCACTAATAAAAATAATTATGCACAAGACACTCATAATTATGCATAGACAAAAAATCATTAAATATAATGATGCTGAACAATAAAAATAATGACAACAATCCCAAAGGAGGAGAAATGACTAAGATGCCCTTGTGGGTCATAGCTTATCATATGGCGCTGTCTCAATCAATGGGTTTTTGGTTCCATTATTATCAATTATTATGTTATCTTTTTCTATATTTTTAACTTTCACTAGCAAGTTAATAATAATAATATAATAACAATATTACTAAGTAAAAAATGTATACAATTAGATCATTTAATTTTAATACAAAGAGGTCACAATCATACCATTAAATTTAAAATTAGGCAGTTAAGAATGTATCATTTTTTTAGTACAAAGTCCAAAATAATTGATTAATACTAGACGAAAGTAGGAGCCCTCTCCCAACTTACTCACCCTAAAAAAAAAAAATTCCAAAATAATTTTTCTTAAATGTTCTACATTTCCATATATTGGACTTTACATCTAATACATTTCCATATATTTGATTTTACATCTAATAGATTTTCATATATTGAATTTTACATCTAATGACTAAAAATGATTGTGACCTTATTCTTTATAAAAAAAATAAAAAAAAAGTCTCATAGTATATAATATTTTATTATTCTTATTATTATTATTATTTAGGAAAATTTACCAAAATACACCACTTTTAAAATTAATTTAAAATTTTAATCTTTTTCTCATAATCCAAATCAAATTTTTGATGGGCATTTTGAAATTAAGTCAAAATATATGGGTAATAAAATTTTAAAAAATTAATATGTTAGGTGCAATTTACAAATTTCCCTAACAATAATAGCAGCAGTAATGATCTTGTGGAAACCAATTATTATTATCTATTATTATTATTATTATTATTATGAGATATAGATGATAAAAAGTTAGTAAAGGCCTCAAACAGGACTTGTTTAACCTCCTTGCACATGCAACCAAGAGAGAACTCGTACAAGCATTGAATAACAAGTAATAGTACAATACACATGACAGAAAAGCTTGCCACAATAAATTGGCAATCTGGTTATATATATATAGAGAGAGAGAGAGAGAGGATCTGTGTGTGTGTATGTGTGTGTCTGTGAGAGAGAGAGAGAGAGGATGTGTGTGTGTGAGAGAGAGAGAGACAGAGAGAGAGAGAGAGAGAGCATACAACTATATCTTCTACTACCGTACGTAACGGGGAACCAAAACTAAAAACTAAAAACTACCTACCTTACCCGTACCCGTACCCCGTAAC